AGTCTAGAAACGACTGGAGTTCAGGAAAGGCACAGCCACCTCTTGCAAAGGGTATATCTGAAAAATGTGTTAATTCTAACTTGGTAAAATCTGATAAACCTCATAACCCTCACATGAGCCTGAAACAGGGAATGCTTGTTCCTTTGGTGGCCATTATTTGAGGGGAGAGAAGTGTCTAAGGTAAAGGGGAGGGAAAATTCACCAGAACCATAGACAGACGGGCTTCCACACCCGGATGACTCATCTGAATGGTTAGAACTCCCTGATAATTAGAGTGTCTGATCCATCATCCTTTAAGCCTGGTGCTGACTTTTTCTCACAGTGAGGATAGACCATGCTCTCCCTCCCTCCCTCTCTTCCTCCCTCCCTTCCTCACATGTGCTCTCACACACTATTCCACTAGAGATTTCCCAGTTTGTTCTAGCTCATATTAATTCACTTGACCTCTTCAGACACTAGTTGTACAGGGATATAAAAGCAAAGAAACCATCTTTTAAATCAAAAGCAGTATCATGGCAGCCAGTGAATGTTCTGAGAAAATAGTGCCTTCTATCACATAGGAGGGCAGAGTCCAGGAGCCTTCACTCCTGGAAAATGCTTTGCTTGAAAGCCTTTTTTCAATTTGCATCAAAAACCATGTAAGAGGTGGCTCAGTCGGTGAAGTGTCTGACCCTTGATTTCGGCTAAGGTCATATCTCAGGATTCACGAGATCAAGCTCCATGTGGGGCAACATGCTGACAGCGCAGAGCCTGCTTGGTATTCCTCCCTCTCTCCCCCTCCCTCTCTCCCTTTCCCTCTCTCTCTCTCTCTCTCTCTCTCTCTCTCTCTCTGCCTCTTCCCTGCTCACTACCATGTGTGCACATGCTTGCTCGCTCTCAAAGTAAGTAAACATTTTAAAAAACAAGTATGAAGGAGCTCTTTTTGCTAGAAAGTATCTCCTGGTTGTTTTCCAAGCAAAGAAATTCTATTAGCAAATAAAGCACTAGTAAAAATCTATAAGGAGACACTGCAATAAGATTCAAAAGCTATAGGGCATCTGGCCTTAGCACTCGTGTTTAATCTGTATTCGCTAAGAAGACACAGGAAGCAAGCATGGTCAGAAAGCAATGTGTTAGCAAGGGCAGAAGATCAAACTAGGAACTGAATTACCTACATGTCACCGACTTCTTTTAAAAGGGGAAATGACCCAAGTCTTGCACCTTTCTTGACCCAAGAGAGAGCCTTGGTGCTAGAAAAGCCACAGAGGCACTTTTCAAAGTGAGGGCAGCAGCTTTCTGTCCGAGGAGCTGCATGAAGGACCAAAGGAAATAACTCGGGACAGAAGTGGAGACCAAGAATCACTTGTTTTTCATAATCAGATAAGAGCCAGGTCCTGGACATCTGCTGGCAGGGGATCCTGGCAATGGCCACGTGAGCAAAGAAGTGAACGTAAACATTGTGACTGCCATCCTGAAGGGTCTCAGCTCAAGGCGGTGAGAAATGCAGAGTCCCTAGCAGCCAGGACTGGGAGCACAGGAGAGGTCAGCAGGCTGTGCACCCGTCCCCGCCCACCCCACCATCCGCCTCATCTGTGCTTCATCACGTGCCAGGCAGGCATGTCCTGGCTGCTGATAAAGTGACATGGAAACCCTGTGCTTTTGTGCAGAGGTACAGTAGTGGGTTCAGACCTCTATTCTGGGATTCCGGTGAGGACGCTGGGAGAAAGGGTGTGCCTTGATCAGTTCCAGGGACAGAGATTTCAATGTTGGTAGTGCTGCATCATCACTGCATCATCAGCTTCCCTGCCTCACCTGGGGGGGGCCACAAGCCTTGATTAAAATGTCCCTCCGGGCTCCGAAAGCCCTCAGCTGTGGGTGTGGATACAGCCTGTGCGGCACTCCAGTACAATTCCCAGAATGCTTTCTGAAGTTAGCTGACACCATGGCAGAGACAAGGACATCAGAGCAAGGGAGAAGTGGAGAGGGGTTTGGCACTTGCCGTTCCGTGGCTGGAAACAGCGTGTCAGCATTACCGGACTCACCTCCCAGCCAGCCAGACATGCTCTCGCCCCACCCTCTGCACTTGAGCTTGGGTTTCTGTCCGTGGCGGCTGCACAGAGCAGTTGCTGAACTATGTTTCCCTGCCCAGGCTTATCACACGCTCTGCCCTCTAGTCTAGAGGCTATGAAGTCACCCCTTGCCCTGCTATGCACTTCATGGGGGCTTCCTTCTTACGAAGCACTTGGCATTGGGACCCTCGGTCTGCATTGACCTCCCAGCTCTCTCCTCTGAATTTTCCATATTCTGACCTTCATAGAGGGTGTGTAAGGCACCACTGGTAACAGTGAGTGGAGCAGAGCCATAATCTGAGAGGAATTTCTGTAGTAACTTAGAGCCTGTGCAGAATCTGAGAGTTGTAGTAGCAGCTGTTCGATCAGTCAGCTGAGGACGGCATTCACCACCCGTGACAGTCTCCCCATTGTGAGCTACTTCAAGGATGTATGTAGGAATTGATGTGTCTGTACATGCTTGTGTTTGTATATAAATATTTGCTTACACATGTCCCCCAACTCAGCATACATGGGAACTGCAAAACTGTATTTTACTCCCCTCCACATCCTAGAGCCACCTCCTTCTCTTTCCCCCGGTACAGAGCCCACAGGGCTATTCATTGCCCCCTGCAATCCCAGACACCCTCACTGCACTCTCACGAATCTAAAGACTGTACCTGATACAGCTCACCTAACTGTAAAATTATAGTATGTAATGCATGTAACATAGAAAATATATAGATTGCTTATTGGTAAGGCTTCTGGTCAGCAGTAGGTTATTAAATTTATTATTAAAATTATTAATTAATGTTTTGGGTGAGTCAGAAATTACATGCAGATTTTCAACTGCGGGAGTCCATGCCCTTACATCCGCCTGATGTTCAAGGGTTAACTGTACACACGTTGAGGATTCTTTAAGATATCCCTTTATACTGAAGCCGGCTAACATGTCACTAAAGAATGTGAGAATGAAGAGATATTAGTATTTAGGTACAGTCCTATGTGTGCGCAGGTTACACAAGTGGACAGGGCTCTCACTTTCTCCTTCCACACAGCCACTTCTTTTCAGGGCCCTGATGTGACCCCATATAAAGTAAGAAGGTTGAACTGAGGACCCCTGCACTATAGTGCAGTGAAGCAACTTGCAACTTGGTGGTAGGAGTCTAGGGACGATTAAAGAGGGTCTGCTAGAGAGGAGACCTGTGTGAACAAGCTAGTGAAACTCTGGGGTCAGGGTGCATGGGGCAGCAGGTTAGTAAAATGGGGGATTTGGAAAGGATTGAGGAATTTAGAGAGCCTGCACACAGCTGGTGACCTCCTTCACACTTCAGAGCTCAGGCTGTGTGGCACGTCTCCTCCAAGCCAGTCTCATGTCGGTAACAGTGCCGGTGACTTGACCCTCAGCTCTTACTGACGTCGTATCAGCAGTGAGAGAGACGACATTTTTGTCTTTGCTGTGAGTGTATCTAGGCAGGGCTGACTAAGGAAAACCATTTGAGGCAAGAATTTGCCAACATACAGACCTGTAGGATGGCAAACAGTGTTTGCCGAAACATTGTTGTATGTGAAGCAGCTTACATACAACAGCCTTATACTAGTGAGGTGTATGGGTATATACGTATGTGTATGTATGTTCAAAGATAAATCCTAAGCATGTTTTTCCTGAAACAGCAGCAAAGAAATTTGGAAAGCTGTTTAAGTAGGATTAACAAAACACAAAAACCATGACTGTACAATAAAGATAATACGAGATCAAAGTTTTAAAGTCATGAAATCCAGAGAAGAATAGAGGAAAACAAAGAAAAATTGCTAAAATCCCATACATAATCCCTGGGAATGTTCTGGTAGATTTCCTAGCTAACTGAACATACCAGGGAAGCTGCCGAGGCAAAGTGTCACGAACCAGCTTGACAGAAGGGCAGGTCACCCCAAGCGTTCGTTAGGAGTCTCTAGTGGGATGGCCGTGCCTTGTCTGACACCGGCTGCCAGCCCCGCCTTTCTCTCCTCTGTGACCCCTGGCTTCCCCACTCTGAGTGGCAAGCACTGCTTTCTCAGAGTCTCCGTGGGGGCCCAGAAATCACTTCACCTGAGGGCCTGCAGTGACTGACACTAGTGACTCTGCAGCTGGCTTTTCCTAAGGATTTCATCAGAAATGGGTGCGGCTCTCTGTTGGCAAGGGCCCATCTTTGTCACTCTGGATCATCCAAGAACAACTATTAACTGAGTCTGGGAAGGGTAAGTGGTCACTGCAGACCAGCTGAAGATTATATAATGTGGCCTGCTTTGGTAATGTCATTCACAGCTCAAGAACAGAACGACTCTGACAGCCTAAATTTGGGAGTCACGTGGGTAACCTCCACGTGGCTGTGTCGGTAAATGAGAAATTCTGTATCTCTAAAATGGAATCCCATAGAAAGGAAGGAACTAACCTGACACGGAAGTCAAGCGCTACACCTGGAATCAAAATGTGGATTGCAGAGCTGACTCTGGACTAGCTCTGAGACCTTAGGCTGATGACACTCACACTCATTTGATCCTTACACAGTAATTCTGTGGGGTAGCCCATGATCTCTTCTCAAAACACAGAAACAGAGACCCAGGTTGGTTAACTGACCCATTCACTGGTGCACTGTCTATAACACACTGGGGCACTGTGACTTGCAGTCCTGAGCTCTTGATTCAGCCTATGACTCTTCTTCACGACAAACTAATGTCACAAGGCTGCTCTAGAAACACACCTGTGAAATGTAGGGTGACTGTATGTGGTTTGAGTTCACTGTAGTTTGGGAACACAGGGAAGTGTGGATCCCCGAATTTGGGACTGGCCAACAAATTCCAGCTATGGGATCCATCGTTTTTAATAGACTTTATTTTTTATAGCACTTTAAGGTTTACATAAAAACAGAACAGAAAGCAGAGTTCCTGTATACTCTCCCCTCCCTACCTCACCCCCAGCCAGTTTCCCCTGTTACTAACCTGCTGCATTACTGTGGTATGTTTGTTTCCATTGATGAACCAAAATGACACATTATTATTAACTATAGACCAGAATTTACATTAGGGTTCACTCTTGGTGTTGTACCTTGTGTAGGTTTTGGCAAATGTGTAATGCATGTGCCCACCATTACAGCAGCAAACAGAAGAGCTTCACTGCTCTAAAAACCCTCTGTGTTCCATCTATTCATCCCTCCCTCTCCCCAGCTCCCTGATCTTTCTACCACATCCATACTTGGGATCCATTTTTTAGTCTAGTTTTTTTTTAACGTATAATATTTGCTATAAATAGCAATTTTAGAGTCATTGAGCATAGAGATCATGATCACCATTTTTTCACCGAAAGCAGTAGATTTGGGATTCTGTTTTTTGCTGTGATCTTACAAAAGTGAGCTCTAAAGATTAATTATTTCATTCCTCTTCAGGAAAAATAATCACCGCTACCCACAAAAGGGGCAAGTAATTTAAAGTTTATTAAGTGTCCTATATTCCTGCTTTTGGAAACTTAAAAGGATTTCTTCAGTGCTCCCCTGTCCCCTCTGCACTCATCCCCTGAGTGCCCCTGGGCATGCTGGGAAACCCTGGTGCGTCATCCGGCCTGGTAAGCTAAGTGGAAACACACTTGCCGTCTGAATTGAAAGGACACTCTTTACCTTTTTTAATCTCAGAGGGGACTATGAAGGATAGAGAAGCCACAGGTCTCTTTCTCCCTCATGCCTCCCACCAAGAAATCTAAATTCTCCCATCTGGCTGTAAAAGAATAAAGGGTTCAACAATAAATGTTCCATTGTTTACATGGTAAACAAGACTACCTGAGCGGACTTTCTCTGAGGAAGGTGACTGATTACCTCAGTAGTCTTTCTTAGAACAGCCTCTTCAGTTGAACCTGGGAAGAAGAAAAAAAGAAAAAAAAAAAAAAAAAACAACAACCTCTTCTCAGAATGATTAGCATTTGCATCATACAATCCAACTTCCTCTCCTCCTCCTCTCTGTCTCTGCCTCTCTGTCTCTCACTCACTCACACCCTCCCTCTTTCCAGTCAAGGACATCTCAAGAGGTCAGTACCGCCCCCGTGTCTAAAACTTCAATGTTTGCCTTTGCAGGGACTTTTCCAACTTTACCTAGAAAAGAACTAACCAGAACTTTAGCACTTGTGGTCAGCCTGCTTCCGGCTGTGGCTTCAGTCAGTTTGTCTGCTCTGACAGAGGAAGCACTTGCTGTGACGGGAACTGCACGGGCTGGATTGATTGTAGGAGGACCGGGGCAGACAGTGCCTAATGACATTGGTATGTGAGATGCCAGCAGCAAGGAAAGCGAGGGAAGCACGAAGGGATGTCTCAGACCCAGAGTGACAGATGCTGCTGACAGACGCACAGTGAGCCCACAGCCTCCCCCAGACCCGCCTTCCTGTGGGCGCACACACGTGCACACGCACGCGCACACACACACACTCACACTCACATGCTGAGTTCATGTATAAACAAAATGCTGTAGTTGAAGATGATTTTCTTGAAAAATGCAGAAGCCAGGACACTGAGACATGCTTCTGATCTTCACTACACACAAAGGTAGGACTCTGCAAACACTACTAGACCTTCAGACCCTGACTGGCTGGAGAGCCCCGAATGACGGGCCTCACTGAAGTCCTTAGCAGGCAAGCAAGCGTGGCATTTGCAGTGAAGGTCTGAGCTAAACACAGAGCAGCTGGATTCAGGTGTGCTCTCGGCCCCTCCACTAGTCACTGGGGTAGCCTAAACCTTTTCAGTCCGATTTCGATCGTCTACAGAGGGGGGGAGCGTGTCGGAGAGCAGCCTCACCCTGCATCACAGCGTATCCTCCTGTGCAGGGCGCACAAGCAGAAGGAAGTTGAACAACAGTTTGGCTAGAATTGCTAATTAATTTTAACCACCAGGTATTCCTTGGTAATTTGAGATTTGACTTAACAGCTCCGGATAATGTTTTAATTAAATTTCTGGCAATACCGAGAATCTTAGAGTTGGGGATTTACCTACCTCAATGCCGAAAAGCTAAGAATACATGCCATCCGGAGTACTTGAATTCCTGCAGCTGACCTTGTTTCCTATGGTTTAGGATTTCAGTGGGATTCCCCCACCTTAGACTTCATTGTTAGATATTAGAGTTGAAGGAAGGTCTCGAGGGAGAGCCTATAAGGTGCTAGGTAACCGGTCAGTATCTAGACCAGGAAATCCTTTTCCTAGCTCTGCAGTGAAGGACTGTCCTGAGATGGAGAATGAAGGCTTAGCCCTGGGATCAGGACACATGGCCCAAAGTGGCCTTAGGCAGAAAGTATGACATTTCTTTAAAATCTTAAATTTTATTTTGAAATTCTGATTTAATTTCATGTTTTGTCACAGGGCATATTTTGAGTTTAATATAAAAATATTTTCAATAATTTACCATTGAATGATAGGGACATTCTAAAAAGATGCATTCTTTCCTGTGGCTTTATTTGCCCCTTGGGCATGCTCCAGGGTCACAGGTATGTCACGTACAGAAGCACAAAGAAAGCAAAAACAAAGAGGTTCTGAGTGCATCTTCTTCACTGTGGAGACCGAGGAGCACAGATGCCAGTAGCGGCCATGCTGATACTGTGGGCCCGTGACTCATCCAGCAGGGACTCACTAGGCACGCACATCTCGGAGTCCCTCACAGTGAAGAACCATGCCCTGAGACCTGCCCCATGACCGCAGGATGTGCACTAAAGCACCTTGGGGGCAGGGACCTGTCTTGCTCAAGCCCTATGCCATGTTCAGTAAACAGCTGTTAGGTGAAGTCGGTGCATTTTTGCATTCGTTCAGTGACTTTTCTGAAATCCTTCTGTGGGAGTCCAGGAATCAAATATGCCACAAAAGAAGGTGGGAACCTACCACAGAAAATTTCTTTTAAACTGTAGTCATTTGGTCACTTGCTGTTGGAATACAGCAAAGAAACTGTTGCTTAAACTTTAAGCTGAGTGCAGACTGTTGCATCAATACTGTGTGTTCTTTGGAAGACTTCATTAACGTGGACTCTACTTGGAAATGTGTGTTGTCTGTTCTGTGGGGGGCTCGCTAAGCTAGTGAACGCAGGAAAGACTTGCAGGCCCGACTGGAGATGCATTCTCTAACCAGTTTACACAGCTGAATGTTAATCTGCAGGTCAGTAGTGAAGTAGCTATAGGTGAGTTCTACCACCTGCTAAAGTATTGTGTGCATGTCTTTCTCCCCTCATCTGAGCAGGCGGGCCCTCAGGGGCTCCAGGTCACCTCCTTACTTCTCCTTCCCTTGGCTGGCCCCCTTACCCAGGCCTTCTTTTTCCGTCTCCTGAGTTATTCCTGTTACACGCACTGGTCTGTTATACACCTCGATCAGGTTATTCTGCAATCTGAGCCGCCCCCACCTCCATCCAAACTGGTTTCCTCCCTGGGCCAGCCCCACTTTATCGACAGTGCCCTCATGCTTGTCTTTAGTTTGGCCAAGCACGGACCCTTTGGGTCCATGCCTTTACCCAAGAGAATTCCAGCCAGTCATCATCACTGGTGGTCAGTTCTGACTTTGGTCCTACTCTCTGCCACTCATTTGACAGAGTATAGCCTGCTTTCTGCCATTCTTTTTCTTTTTTTAGTGTATATGTCCACTCATTAAATAACTAGTGCTGCGATGCCAGGAATCCTATCTCATATTTAGGTATGAAAGCCATTTCCACTTTAAAGAGGTCCAGGAGGCGGCGACCATATATGTGTGGCTCTATCCTCAGCACCATAAGGATAAATGCCCCTTAAGTATAGGTTGAATATGTTGTTTTTAAAATATTTCCTTCCAGGGAGCTAAAATAATGCTTTAACTTGTGATTCGAATGCAAAGAACTAAGAAATATTTCACCTCAAAATATACTCAGTATTAGCAGTATACAATTCATCAACACCAGGTAATTTTCACGATCCCCTTTGAAATACAGGAATTTGTTATGTCCCTCACTCCCAAGGACAAGTTATTTTCCCTTTCAGGGCTCCGTTTTCTGCATTAGAGATACAGCAGTGGCATTAGTGATCTCTCAACTCCTTCTTGGCATGACATTTTGTCACATCCCAATGGACGGTGTGTCCATATGCTCCTCTAAGTCTGACGGTAGAAGTAGGAGGTTGGATCTTTCCTCTTCAACTTGTTCTCTTGGCGGGGGAGATCAGTGTGTGAAACATACAGCAGTCACTGTGGGTACGTGGGGCCTCTGATAGCTGGGCCAGCCTTGTGCTGTGCGATCTTACTGCATTAGATATTTGGGCTCACAGCGTCCTCGCCCGAGCCCACACCCTCCCTCCTCCCTCCATGGGCTGGTTCACCCCAGTGAGAGTAAGTAGCCACCAGCCAGCGCCCTCTATGTGTGCTTTTTTCTGAACAGTTAGATTCGTTCCTCATGTAGAGCTGGACACTGAACATGGGATGTTTCTTCAGTAGGAAGGTGTGACCTTGTCTGAAAGACTGACACTGGAGCAGTGAATATAATCAGTGACAGGTCACCTTAGCTGTCTTTCACTGCCAATGCCAAGCTCTAATGTTTTCAAATATCTGCTCTCCTCTTCTCTGTTCTAGACACAAGGCAGAAAACTGATTAAAGACATACAAGTACCTCAGATTTTTAGGCTAGTCATCTTTGTAATGGGGTATTTTATGGAATGGTCTTTTTGCCCATAGGACTGTGGGGGGAGACTGTTGAAGATGAACATAGGTTGACATTGTTACATGTGAGTGATGTGCTGGTCACAGGGTGTTTGGTTCAGTAAGGCAGACATCATTCTCTCCTCAGCAGTCTAAGTAACTGCTCACCCATTGAGCATTTGCTATGAGGGCCCATGCAGGCAATAGAGATGGTCTATCGTTTCTCCTTCCACAAATATTAAGTGTCTACTATGTTCTGGTCACTATACTACGGTGGTTCCTGCACTCATGATGCTAAAAGGCTAGTGAGTTCCAATTTATCTGACTCCCCCAAGGTTTAAGCCAACACTCTCAAGGAGATGTGATGCCTTGTTGCCAGTGTGGTATGCCTTCTTTGTAACATTTTCCAACTCGTTCTTATTTGGCTTCAATATTGCTAGATTGTCCTGGTTGCTTTTTGATATTTAGACATGTCTTGTGGAATTTTGTGTTTGATTCTAAGTATGCTGATATCTTCCACTGTATATGACAGAAGTTGGCAAACGCCAGCCTATGGGCCAAACCCAGCCTGCTGCCACCAGCATTTGCAAATAAAGTTTTATTGGAATACAGCTACACTCGTTCATCTATGTATTGCCTCTGGCTGTTTCCAGGCTACAGGCTACAATAGCAGACTAACTGTGACAGAGACCATATGGTCCACAAAGCCAAAGATATTTACTATCAGAAAATACTACACAGAAAAATTCTGCTGACCTCTGGTGTGTACAAAGCAGCAATAACAAATTCTGTGTGTGTGTGTGTGTGTGTGTGTGTGTGTGTGTCGGCAGGGGGTGAGGGGATGGGCAAGGTTTGTGTTCATGTCAATTACAATTTATCTTGATGAGCTCAAAATGGTCCCGATCAGAAATGACACCAGATAGCTGTGCAACTGAGTCAATTTTCTCTCCCCTTATCTTGTGCTGATTAAGTTTCTACTATTCATTCCTGCCTCTCTGTACAGAACTTATCTATGATGCATACTTTTTAGGAGAAAGGCAGAAGGAAGAGAGGTGGGAGGAGGAGTCGTGGCCCATTTGTTAACCAGCAGTGAGAAAACCTATTCAGGTGTGAGCCGGAGATGTCAAAAGGAAGGATGGAGATGGACAGGAGAGGAGACTCAATGGGCCTTTCTTAGACCAACTAATGGCACCCATCAATGATGTCAAGCTGCGAGGAAAAGGGAGCAAGAATAGAGGAGTCATTTCCGTAAGCCCACAGAGAGGGAAACTGAACAAGACGCCCATTCCCCGTTTTCAGCCTCTTGACAGTCCCCTACCAAGCAAATGCGCACACACGCATATCCGGTAAATGCCAGAACACTTGGGATCTCAAAATTCATTTCACTTCCAGAGTGTTTGCAAATGATTTTCCAAGTATAATGCTTTTAAAAATACCCAGCACAGTATGAGGTATGTAGAGCAGTCACATTCATAGAGACGGCAAGCAGAACGGTGGTTGGCAGGGGTGAGAGAGTTAGTGTTTAATGGGGCTGGAGATTCAGATGGGGAAGATGAAGTTTCCGAGGTGGAGAGGGTGACGACGGTTACACAACACTGCGAATGCACCTAATGCCACTGAGCTGTACAGCTGAAAGCAACTTAAATGGAAATTTTTATGTTCTGTACATTCTACCACAGTTTGAAAACCCACCTCTCATTAGCCAGGTCATGCAGTGGCTACACACCTATTTACAGATTAGGCAAGTTGTTTGGAAACCTACCTTTTCCCCTGCATTTAGTTCTAAAGGGACCACTAAGAACTCAGTTCAAAAGGTACTTACTGAATGGTGGTGTAACACGCACAGCACACTGGTTCTGGAACAGAGAGCTAATGAAAGCGCAAAGACATTGCCTTTCTTGTCTGTACTCCTAGAAATGACTCTTTTTTTTTTTTTTTTTTCCCAATGTGGATTCTAGGAAAGAAACCTTGACTGGTTCCCCAGGATGAGAGCCATGTCCTTGGTCAGCAGCGACTCTGAAGGGGAGCAGAATGAGCTGAGGAACCTGCAGGAGAAGCTGGAGTCCACCATGAAGCTTGTCACTAACCTTTCTGGCCAGCTCTCAGAATTGAAGGATCAGGTAAAGAAAAGAAACCCCATCTGCCACACACACACACACACACACACGCACACCCCGCCAGCTGTCAGAATTGAAGGATCAGGTAAAGAAAAGAAACCCCATCTGCCCCCCCCCACACACACACACAGACACAGACACACACACACACACCGCCAGCTGTCAGAATTGAAGGATCAGGTAAAGAACAGAAACCCCATCTGCCCCCCCCACACAGACACAGACACACACACACACACACACACACACCGCCAGCTGTCAGAATTGAAGGATCAGGTAAAGAACAGAAACCCCCATCTGCCACACACACACACACACACACACACACCACCCCCCCCCCCCAGACACGCCAGATCTGACGAGGCACAGTCAGCAGTGCTCAGGTTAAAATGC